GTCTTTTCCAATAAGTTAATAATATAATAACAGGTCTGGCCGAATCTAGGGATAACTTTTTCTCTAATTCGAACCAGACCTTCTCTCTTCTTCTTTCCTCTCCTACTTCTACCTCTTGCTGTTCACTTTACTTTACTTTACAGTCAACGAACAAGACAGAATTCTAGGACAGGTCGAACTTCAACAGTTAGGAACTTGCCTAACTCAAGGCTCTTCGAGGGGCCAACCTCCTGAATTCTTGGAAGAAGAGAGAGGAAAAAGAGAGAGAGAGAGAGAGAGAGAGAGGGAGGGAGGGAGGGAGAGAGAGTTTAATGCTGAAAGAATCAATGCCCTATTCCTTTTCTGCTCTACTACTTATAGTTTTACAATCTTGATTGTCTTTCTGTTACAGTTGTTACAAGTGGATGGTTAGTTGTGCTGACGTGGCCTCCTCTTGTAAAACTGATTAACTGCCTTCTGTTGGTCTGTTCCAGCAGTCTTGACAGAGTTCAGAATCCAAACTAGCCAAAAAGAGCAGTTCCAGAGCTGTGGATGGCTGCTGCTATCTAACTTATTTATTGCATCTAGGGAACATTAAATACCAATATCAAGGTAATAGATAAACTGTATGCAGTTAACAAAAATATATGCAGAAATACATGTCCATCAAAAATCAGGGTAGTATATAAACAGTATACATCAAATGATTGAGGTAACCAAAGAAAGAATTTTTCTTAAAAGATAGCACACTTACCCCTTTTGTTCTTTGCTCTAGTAAATTCCTTGGCCTTTTCAACCTCTGAAGCAGCCTTTTTAAGAAGGACGTTCTCCTTTTTTTCAAGCATTTCAAGTGTCTAAAATGAACATTAAGTAGCAAGTTAGGCTTAAATATAGCATCAACAGTAACAAACACTATATTGTTATGATATCATACAAAGTATTGAGAGTATAGAATAAAAAAATGACTGCTTTTAATATCAGTATGTGAACAATACAAAGATTAGAGATTCTTCTAGTACATAAAGCACATATAGATACTCTCAATACTTTGAGAGATCAAGCATAGCTAAAAATTATATGCAACTCATAAGCATAAAAAATTACATGGCCAGAACATTTGAAACTATAATGGTTTATTTGTTTCTAGAAAACTTCTCCTTGAATAAAAGATTGGCTGGATTTGGATCTTCAGAGAATTGCTTGCCTCCAACAAAATAGGGGCTGGCTGATGTGTTGGATCAGAATATTAGGGTATCTGTCCTATGTGTTTGTGTGTGATCAGCAAGAAAATTTAAAATTTAAATTAATATGTGAAACAGAAATTACAGCAGAGTGGTTATCCAACCACCCATAGACATAGTAGGAAGAGGAGGAAGAGAAGAGAGGGAAGAAGGGAAGAAAGGAGTGCCCTCCATGCTAGGGCTGCAAATGGATTGGATTTAATACAATCCGGATTTGAATCCCATTCATTTATGTCAAATTCAAACATCCATTTAGTGGTAACCAGATTGAATTGGATTTGAAACATTGTCCGTTTAGTGGTAATCAGATTGAATTGGATTTGAAACATTGTTCGTTTAGTGGTAATCAGACCAGGCTGGACAGACTGTGAAAACTGGGAACTAGTAGGTATTCTGGTTTTTTAGAACCCTGACTTTTCAAATTTCTAAATAGTGGATGACCCATTGGAAACCAATGTAAAATGTTGAAAACCATCCAGGTTTCAACAACCCAGCCAGTTTTGAATGGCATGCATGGATTATTGATTTATCATAAATTATAAAATGTTAATAACAAGATTTGAACGTTGATCCAACATGCTTTTTGTGTTTGTTTTTGTCTCTTTAATATTTATATTGATCAAATATGTATATATTTTTGAATTGGATGTGAGTTAAAAGACTTGAACCTCGGTCACTTGCATTAGTAACCAAGAATCAAACCATTTAACCACTACATAAACATGTGACATTATACATAATATTTTATATATTGTTTATATGACTTACAGGTCACTGGGTGGACCTAGCAGTCAGAACATTTGACCCATAGCCCAGAAGTCATTCCAGTTTTGTGTCCAATCCAAGTATTACAACGTTGCTTTTTGGTATTAAAAATATTTAGAACTAAGTTGGATTTGGGATTTATCTAAATTTATTTTCTTATTTATAATATATTTTTATCTTATATTTACTTTTATAAGTTTATGTTAATTTTCTATAGATTTACTTTTTTGAGAAAAGGTAACAATTGTATTCAGAAAAGAAAAAAAAGGTGTACATCGAGGATGCACAAAAAATAGGGCTTTGATACCAAAAAGGCCAAAAGCCACTTGAGACAAAGGTAAGCTATTTGCACTATACAAAGGTTTCTCTGTAATCCAGATTTCTAAGGAATCAGACATTTGGTTCAACTCTCCTGGAATCCATCTATAACAGCAGCCAAGGCAAGCAGATAGATCTCTAGTTTCATGAAGAAGTTGGCCAGCCTCCAAGGGCCAGTTCCAAAATTATTAGCCCAGCCAATCACATTCCTATGATCCCCCTCCACTAGCAGAGAAGCAGCAGCTTGGGCCTTGGGTAACTTTAGCAAATATGAGGCACTCAAGAAGGGCCCGAACTTTGCTTCAGAAGCACCCTTGCAGTAACAGGACTGCTAAAAACCCAAGTCAGATTACCATCTGATCTAAAGATGAACCCCCGCCCCATTCCAATTCCAGCTTTGATATCATCAGTATTTCTCAAACTGCAAAATTAAGGCAGTAAGAGGTCTTGGATCAAGGTAGATGTTGGGCTGAAGAACCAATAAGGAAGAGTTTAGGACTTTGGCAAGATTTCTATGAAGATAACCATAACTAATGCCATAGAAGCTCTTTACTGGTCAGCATCCAAGAAATTTTCAATGTAAGAATATGCCTTCTAAGGCCTCCCAAGGAGGTGCATTTGTTTTCAAATATTCTTCTATTGTGTTCTCCCCAAATGCCTCACATCACCGCATGGACGATAACTTTCCAGTAAATCCTTCCTCTTTTCCCCATTTTGTTTCCCTTCCATTGATTAATAAAGTCACAAGAGGGAAGCCAAATCTTTCTATTCAGAAAAGAGGAAAAGTGGATCCAGCAATCAAGCAAAGGAAGAAGGATTTGGATGTGAAGGACCAGATTATCTTATCAGGAATAGAAGGTAAAAGAAAGGCATCATTAATAGTGAAGAGAAAACAGATTTACTAATATTTTAATAAAATCGAATTTGGATTGGATATCTGAATATATAAACAAATCTAATTTGAATCTCTGTTTTGAATATACATTGGATATTGAATCAAATTCAGATATCTCGAATTCTTATCAGATTGGATTTCAATAATTACAACCTTTACACCACCCACTCTACAAACATGGCCAATCTCAGAGATCATTGGCTTTCTCTCTCTAATCTCTTATGTTTCTCTTTTGTTTTTAATGGTTTTGACATATTTAGATTTTATATAATAACATATGTATAATACAAATTAAATTTAAAAGGCTTGATCAGTCTAAACCATGAACAGTTTGAAGGACACCAATTTGACCAGTTGGGTCAAAAGTTTTTTGACCAATTCAACAGGTTATTCAAATTTACCACTTTACCAGGTTTAGGGTAAGATGCACCAGCCATCGTCTCCAGGTGACAGGTCAACCAGTCTGACCATCCAGGTCAATGACGGATTGACGGGTTACAAGCATAGTTTTCAATCACATATAACTTCTCCTAGATAAAAGATTGCAACATCTAAAACAATGCACCTATAACTTTTTCTTTTATCAGTAGTGAGATCCAAAAAACTCATTAATAACAAGAATAACACAAATAAATGGGTGTGACAGCCCAATGTCCTAGTGAAGTGACAGAGAATATCACTTTTTTTGGTAAAAAAGTTGAAGAGAGATATGAGAAAGCATGTCAACAGATTAAGCTGATAGAGATAGAATGAAGCATTGATACACCTTTTTTATTTCCAATGTTCGCTTATGCAGAAGCAAAGATGAATACAGACAAAGTATTATGCTGGCATGCAGCACAAATAAGAAAAAATATCTAAAGATGCTGCCAATCAAATAATAATCAGTGAAATATGTTATCTTATGAAAGTAATTGTGTAGTTCAATTCCTCATGACTGTCCAGAAAAGGGAGGCTAGAATGGATATAATGCTAGTTTCCAAAATCTATAGGTGGAAATAAAAGGGGGGAAGAAATATAAGGTGATTCTTCATTTGTTATAACTAGAGATCTGTTTGAGCAACAACTTCCATATTAAGACAAGGGCTTACAAACATAATTTGCTGCTACATCATGCTGAGACAACAAAAAGTAGGACTAGTAATTCTTTTTTATCAGTAACAAGAACAGTTTTATTGATTAACCAGTACAAGTAAAAGAAATACAGACCATGGCACCAATAAATGGACCCAACCTCAGTCTTCCAAGAAGACCATCCAAATGCTATAAATTGATGAAAAAAATGCATAGAATTACCAGCCCCCCCCCCCACCCAAAAAAAAAAAAAAACAATTCCACTTTATTCACCCCTCTCTAAACTTTTGACTAATTCATCAACAGAGGAAAGTTGTGAACATATATATAAAGTAAAAGGTTATGCATACAGAAAGTGAACAAGAAGTTATAAACAGTTCCCATTTTATTTTGTTAGTTGCCCCAAGTGAACAAAACGCATTATGTGCTGGCCAATTTCACCTCTGCTACAGAATATGAGAGTTCATTATGTGTCTTTCCTCTTCCTTTTGGAATATGGCAAGTGGCAACAGACAAGGTATTTGTGATCATCTTCAAAAAAATCGATTGAGAATCCCCAAATTTTCTCTCTCTTTAGTTGATTTCTCCTTAAAATGTGCGTCAATACATGTATGAAATAAGAAATACGCCAATCAACTTTCTATGATCTGTATGGTATAAAAAAGGAATTTGACTTTTTTCCATCTTCTTGTAATTTTTTCTCTAATCAATATCGTCTGAGGCGAATGTGAAACGAATGATAGGTTTTCCGAAGGGCCATCTGGATGATAAAGGCCTTATTTTCTAGAGGACATTCGAACTTAAACTTGATTGCACTGGAGTGGAATTCTTTCTGAAAAGACAAGATGAACCCCAAAAAATCAATTCCTCCTAACCTAATCTTACAAACTTCTGATTATTAAGAGAATTTAAGTTTTTGTAGGATAGAAAAGATAAACTGATGATTCATTGGACTGGTTGTCACTGAATAACAAATCTCACGAATTAATAGGAAAAATACAATGGATCGAAACAAACTAGGAAAAAAAAAAACTAATAGTAGATAAAAAGATAAAGGGAACAAGCAAAGAGATTGTTAAAAAAAACAAAATATCAGAAGCCGTTAGAACATCATACCTCGTTCAGCTTGTCTAACGTTTCAAGGGCATTGGTTTCCTGTTTGGGTTTGCCGAAAAGCCTGGTAAACATGATTGATCCCCTGCGTCGAAACTCACCACTCTGTTGGAAATAAAAAGAAACCGAATGGAATTATTCGAAACCCTAAGACGAACTGCACAGACCTTTCCGATCGATCTGTCAGGAAGAAAAGAAAAGTCCTCTCTTTAACAATAAAGCAGGGTATCGAACAAATACCGACCTGTAATTGTAAATCGAAATTGACAGTAGGGTTTGAGAAACAGCGATAGCGAAGTCCAATCGAGGTCGCTTTGACTAAGAGAGGAGAAGCGAGAGAGGGGGATGAAGGTCAATCTACAGAAGAGACCTTCTGCGTAGAAATCAGTAAGAAGCAAAACCAAAATAAGATAAAATGAGGGCGAAAAAAACAACTAAAATAAGAAGTGATCGATCAGTCGATTGGGAGTCTGTCCGTCGAAGGTCGAAGCTTGTAATCATAAATTTGCTGCGGTTTCCTGCTTCGATTTGGTGGTGATGGAAAAGCAGGTGCCTTGCGTTTTCCCGGAAAAAACCCGTTAATGTGAACAATAAGTCGTCATTATTCGTATGTCGTCTACGTCAGAAACACTGGATTGAACAGTTGGACCAACTTGATACAGACTCCGGTCGGATCAGGATCGATGCCTTTCTCAACCCGACCCGACCCAGGTTGGCGGTGATGGAAAAACAGCTTGTAATCATAAAGTGTATGAACGATAAAACTAAATCTAAACTATATTAGGGCTCTATGGGCGGGTTAGGGTTTGGACAACCCAACCCGACCCAGATTGCACCCTTATTTTTTTTTATTTATCTTTTGGGTTAGAGCACCCCTGGGTAAAATGCTACAAATGTTAATATAGTATGATGTCTTACTATCATTTTCGTATATATATAACATGTGTGCTCCATGAACTTAATAGTGTTTGTAAATTTTTTGATAGGCAAAGTTTCAAATTATTTAGTGATTTAACCCAAAATCATGGTCAGGTTGGATTAGGGTTGAAGACCTTGGACGAAGGATGGGTTAGGGAAGTCCAAGCTAATTTGGACCAATTTGCACTCTCAAAAAGTTATTAGGTCCCATCTGGTTCAAAAGAATAGGGTTTGGAATTGAGCCATTCAGATTCTAACTATTTGGTTGGGTGGAATCACAATTCAATTCTCATTTTCCCTTGGGAATAGCATTTTTCTATCTAAGAGAATGATTATTCTTTCCTTTTCCCTTGGGAATGAAACCACATTCTAGCTGATTTCAATTTTAATTCTAATTTATGTCTGAAACAAACAAATTATAGGAATAGACCATTCTAATTCTGATTTTAAAGGATTTCAATTCTGATAAAGAATAATATTTTCTTTTAGGGTATGTAGAGAAAATGAAACAAGCAGCAATTTATAATATAATGACCTCTTGGGTCAAGGATGAGCTAAAGTCGCACTCACTTTCCAATGGTCGTCCTTAGTGGAATGATTAGTGGAATGAGCGGCAATGTGATGAGCTAAAGTCGCACTAGCTTTTTCGAATCTCACTTAGCAATCAAAGCTGAGATTCCTGCTTCGGCCCCTCTTCTCAAAAATAGAGTTTTTAGCAAGGTTCTAAATATTGATACGCCCAATACACCGGTAGGGGCGTATCAGGCAGTACCGATACTTTTTTTTTTAGTTTTTTTTTAAACCGGTTCAGAGGGGTGATTTAAGGTTCTTCCGCCCCCTGAACCAGTCAGAACCCCGATACACTCTCTGTAGGAGCGTATCGAGGTGCTCCCAATACAATATGTATCGAACGATACATGTCGATTTTTTGAACCTTGGCTTTTAGCATGAGAATCAATGGAGAAAAGATCTTAGCCCTCCAACATCAACTAAACTTCCTGATGCAAAGTTATAGTGTTTAGGATTATCATATTTAAGATATGTTAGAAAACTTTTGCCGTTAAAACTTAAAATTATTCATACATACATACATACATATATACATGCATATAAGTACATACACCTATACTATATAAAGCAAATGCTTGCTTATAACATGAGTCAGAAAACTTAATTAAATCCAAATACTATATATCATGTATGCAACGTGCATCCCTAAAAAAATTCTTGCACACGTGCATATCAATATATTTATATATATATATATATATATATATATATATATATAAAGCATGAAGGCACACTCACCCCTACAAGTTAAACCCAAATGAAGCCTTGTCAAGCATTACTAGCCTTAGTTTGACAATTATATATAAAGAGATAAAAACTGCAACTTGGTTAGTGTTAAACTGTTAGCCCAACCCAAGTTGCATTACCGTCATATATGCTAAGGCTTCCTGGTTTGGTAGCCAGCTCAATTACAAAATGTCGAGCCTTTCTGATTGTAACCAATGTTTTCTAATCATTGTTGATTCAGATGGTCAGACCGTTTGGACTGGAAATTGTTTAGGTGATCGGTTTCGTTTTACCCCAAACCCGGTCTCTGGTCAAAACCCGTTGAATTAGTCAGTGAACCGTTGACCTGAACAGTTTGTGGTTTATTAACTTGTCACAACAAAATGAAAAGGGAAGAAGATCTCTCAGATCTGAGATCTACTGAGAGAGATGTGTGAAACAATGAGAGAGATCTCACATTTAGAGATCTAAGAGAGAAGTTGACTCTAGATGACAGATTTGCGAGAGAGAGAGAGAGAGAGAGATCTAAGACTGAGAAATCTCAAATTGATTCCAGTTTTTCACCATCATCGCCACTGTAAGTTGTTGGCACTGCAGCCTTCAAGCCCTCCTCCTCCTCCTCCTCCTCCTTCCTTCCTTCCTTCCTTCTTCTTCTTCTTCTTATTCTAAACTCTTTCAGCGGACAACTTCTCAAATACCTCTCATTCCATCTTTATTTTCTCTTATATTTATATGCATCTTACCATAATATCCCAATCTAATGGGTAAGATGACATATCACTATTAAAATATTCAAACCGTTCGAACCGTTTGACTCAGATGGTCGAACCGCTGACCTGAGAACGATTCCATTTCCGGGTCAATTTTTAAAACCTTGATTATAACAACTTTAGTGTTTAGTTGTGCTTTTGGTTTGATTCCTGTAATAATCTTGGAAATAGAAGAGAAGAAGTCCTTTATTACTTAGCTTGTTTAATTTGATTATAATCTGAAAAGATAGAAACATGTTTGTTTTTAAAAGTATTGACCCAAATCTTGGTGTGATTGTTTGTCTTGCTTCCAAGAAGATGAAGGAGAGGACCATGCATGATTTCCCAACAAGGCTTGCAACCTTCTTCTAAAGTGAATGAACAGGCTTTTCGTCACTCTCTTTTTGACATCCTCCCTTACTTGGCTGGATAAAGATTAATGCGGATGGGATACTTTCGGATGTGGCTAAGCTAGTTTCAGTGTTAAAGCTCGAGGTCACCAAGGAAGTGCTATAGCAATTATTTTTCGGCATGCTTCGGTTTATTTTTGGGTGGTTACGAGCCAAGCACTTCACGAGTTATTCGAGCTCGGCTCGGTTTCAATCGAGCTTTGAGCCGAGCTCAAGCCCAATTTATAGGCTCATTTATTAATCGAGTCGAACTTGATCCTAATAAAGCTCGCCTTGTGAGGATCATGAGTAAGAAGAAGAAGAAGAAGAAGAAGAAGAAGAAGAAGAAGAAGAAGAAGAAGAGTAGTAATAATAATAATAATAATAAAATTATAGAAAATAATATATATAATAATAACTAATTATAATAATTCTTAATTTTTATTTTTATAAAACATTTTTCTCAAGTCGAGCTTGAGCTTACGAGCTTTTGACTTGAGTCGAGCTTGAACTCAATATTCTAGCTCGAGCTTCGTACTGCCTAGTGAGCCAAGATCGAATATTTCCCAATAACAGCTATTCGGCTCGGCTCGACTTGAATCCACCCCTACTATTCTCCTACTCAAGCTGAAGTGGTGGCTATTTTGAAATGTCTAGAGCTTTTAAAGGAGATCATAGGGCATGCCCTAGTGGAACCCCACATGCACATTTCAGCGTGCATTGAGAACATCTCTCGTATCTGTTATTGGGAGATATTTCCATAACACGGTTGAGATGTGTTGTGAGGCGCCAATGTGAACTCCTTTTGAAGACAATCTAGCTATAATGGAAAGTGATAATATGAATCTCATAAAGGCTCTTCAAAGTGAGAACACTTCTCTAGCTAGTGAAGCTATGTTTTTATGTTGAGATATTTTGGAGTTTGTCAAAAAAAACTATCTATATCTTTTAAGTTTGTAAACAAAACCCGTAATTGTGTAGCTCATGAGCTAGAAAAAAAAGTCCATCATATTCTAGCTCTTTCATTCTGAAGTCCCCTTTGTGGAATCAGAACTTGGTCAGCCGAGACTCAAATATAATAGACCTTGATTATTTATCTTTGTATCTTTGTTGGTCTTCCATGTTTAATATATGTCATCTTTTACCGAGAGAGAGAGAACGTGTTTTACTTTGGGTTGTGGTTTGGACAATCCAGCCCAATTTGATCTTGACACATTTTCATAGATCTATGCATACACATTTTCATATAATAATAATGTTTCAAAATTTTTGTACATTTTTTTATATTCTAACATGTATGAAAAAATCCTTATTTACTACACTTATTTTATTTTTGAATATATAATAGCATAGATGTATCCAAATGTTTTCTATAAAATTTAAGTGTCTTTTTGTGATTTTATCTTTTTAGTTTTTATTATTTATATTATGCCATTATGGATTGACTTATATTTGACCCAAATGATTAAGTTTGTTACTTGCCACATAGTCAGGCAAATAATTTGATTTATAGGTCAATTAAAAAATGTGGGTTTTATATTATTGAAAGTATTAGATATAGATCTATTTAATGAAATCTAGTGATGAGAAAAATATACATCGATAGAATAGAATGGGAGTTAATACCTTAAATATAATATAAAACTTAGTAAAAAAAATTTGAACGCGGTAAAACTTGATAATTCAAATTATATTTTCTGCCATTACAATTAAAAAGTGATTAAATTAAAACTACAGGGGCATTTTAATCAAAATATATTCCTGGCTCAATCATTCTTTTAATAGTAGCACAAAACTAGAAGTAAAGATAGAGTGGTACAATCCCTTAATTGTACGCATGAGAAATCAGAACCCAAAAGATATTTGCCACATTATTAGAGGCTAAACTTTGTCTCTGGTGAAGACAAGGCAATCATCTGCATAAAAAGCAAGTGAACCAAGATGGGCCCTCTCTCATTGAGCATAACATGTTCTCAATGTCATCTTTACCACAACTCTTCTACATTCTTATCATGCTTGAGCTTGACATTAGGCTATGTTTGGTTTGAAAGAAAAGGTAAAGAAAAGAAGGAAAAGGTAGGGAAACCTGTACAAGGTTTGTAAAGGTTTTCTATTTTTCCTTTCCTTTCCCTACTTTTTTCATCAAACCAAACACAACTTAAATATCTCTAAGTATCAGTAGGGTCGAGTTTGGTGAGAAAACTTTGGCTGCTATCCCGTCCCCTATTTATCTTTTCAATTAAAAAATATTTTAATACAATTACTCTTTTACCCACACCCATGGTAAAATGTGATGCGCAAGAACGTTCCCAACAGTGAAGTTCTTCCTGGGTTTGGTGTGGGTCAAGATCAGTGTGCTCCACCTAAGGGTTGAGGTAGAGACCCACCAATCTCTCCGACTTAACTTTGGCTGTTGGAGCCAATAGTCTATGTTGTTGAGAGCATTTTCAATTTTGATATATTTATCAATTCACGTCCATGTCTATGTTTATAGTTACAAAGATATAGGAAGCAATTACTATTCTGTCATTTTCAAAAATATTTTCATCAACAGAGGCTATTGGCCTCCAACAGCTAAAGTTTTTCAAGCTCTCCCCTCTCTACCCTATACACCCCATCCATCAAAAAAAGAGAAAAATTGAAGTTAGACCCAAACTTCTCAGCCCAAGGACTAAGAATCCAAGCTCATCAACCATCAATGCGTCATTTGCTTTGCACAAGGTTTATTAAATCGGACTGGATAGGGAACTGATGTAACGGTTTTTGGTCACGTATCATTTTTTCGTGATGTGCCAATTATTTGGTTGAGTACCTCATCAGCTCGTCTGCTCCCAAGTGGCATGTGACTCAGAGGCTGAAGTGGAGCTCCCTGGTAGCGAGCTGCCTGGTAGCGATCTACCTAGTGGCGAACTGCCTGGTGCCGAGCTGCCTGGTGGTGAGCTACCTTGATGAGCTGCCTGGTGGTGAGCTACCTTGATGAGCTGCCTGGAGGTGAGCTACCTTGATGACCTGCCTGGTGGTGAGCTACCTTGATGAGCTGCCTGTAGCGAGCTACCTGGTGGTGAGCTACCTTGATGAGCTGCCTGTAGCGAGCTGCCTGTGGTAAGATGCCTAGTGGCGAGCTGCCCTGTGGCGGGCTGCCTATGGCAAGCTCAAGCTGTTTAGCTGTCAAGGGGCTACACTTAGTTGGCATGAGGTGCCATGCGTCATAATGTCATTGGAGGGCCAAATCCGCCCTCATCATTTGCCCCCCACTCCCGAGTTGAAAGTAACTCGGCGAAGGGAGTAGATTTATCCTTTTGGCCCGTAATTTGATGAGCTCGTAGGCACTGATTCAGTTTCTTAGGCTCTGGGAGCTGCTTGGAAGCGAGTTGCCCGTGAGGCGCCGAGGTCTCTGCCAATTCGATACTTTAGCCCTTAGGCTTTGGGAGAGACTTGTAGTCCACTCTCCTAGATGTTTCCCATGCCGAAGAGGCGACTGGGTCTTATGCAGCAGTGTTGCCCATTCCGTAGAGGCGACTAGGTCTTAAGCAGCAGTGTGGCCCTTAGGCTTCGGGGAGCGACTCGTAGTCCACTCTTGAACTTTGCCCATGCCAAAGAGGCGAATGGGTCTTATGCAGTAGTGCCGAGGTCAATTGTTAGCTTGGCCTTTGGTCTTTTGGGGGTGAGGAAGTCCTTTATCAGATCGTCATTTCGCGCCTGGGCCAGGCCACTAGGTCGGCGCCCGTGCCAGGTCACGCCATGTCAGAGCACGTGCCAGGCTGCGCGCAGGCCACTAGGTGGGCGCCTTAGAGCTACTTGGTCTGTTAGCTCCCTGCATAGTCTTTGAGTTCATAAAAAATGGAAACTATAAAGTGAGAGCTTCAGTTTCTAAAAAGGTGAGGACTTAACTTTTTAGGAGAAGAGGACTTAGCTTTTTGTAAGATAAGAAATTAGCTTTTGTAGGATGAGATTTTAGCTTTTTGTAGCGTGTTCCCGCAGACGACGCCAAATGATGTAACGGTTTCTGGTCACGTATCATTTTTTCGTGATGTGTCAATTTTTTGGCTGAGTACCTCGTCTACTCCCAAGTGGCCTGTGACTCGGAGGCTGAAGTGGAGCTCCCTGGTGGCGAGCTACCTAGTGGCGAACTGCCTGGTGCCGAGCTGCCTAGTGGTGAACTACCTGGTGGCGAACTGCCTGGTGGTGAACTACCTTGATGAGCTGCTTGGAGGTGAGCTACCTTTATGAACTACCTGGTGGTGAGTTACCTTGATGAGCTGCCTGGTGGTGAGCTACCTTGATGAGCTGGCGAGCTGCCTGTAGCGAGCTATCTATGGCGAGCTGCCTGTGGCGAGTTGTCAAGGGGCTGCACTTAGTTGGCATGAGGTGCCAGGTGTCATAATGTCATTGGAGGGCTAAATCCGCCCTCATCAGGAACCATTTATGGGTTTGGTTCTTAAGTTGAATGGTCTGATCGTCCGATCCAAACAAACAATCCATTATGACAAAAAATATTAAAAAAAGTAAAAAATAAAGAAACAAAAAAAAAACCAAAACCGTTGTTCAGGTTGATGTTTCGATGGTTCGACTGCCCAGGTCAATGGTTTACTAATGAAATCAACGATTTTTTGCCCAAAAAGCGATTTTGAAGTAAAATGAAACTGATCAGGTGACTGATTCCCGATTTTTCTAATCCGATTGCCCAATCAGATCCGGTTTTGAAAATCATGATTTTGCAGTAATGGGCGGGTACATCAATGGGTCTCATGGAATGGAAGAATCCCATGTTTGATCACCGCTATAATGGGACCATGAAAAATAATTTTTCTGGAGAGTATTAGTTATTCGAAAAACCAATATTTCCATAGAGGGTGAACAAATTGTTTATCTTTATCCTCTTATCCTGCCTTATTTGGGTAACTATTCATCCAAACTAGGGCTGTTCACGGGTTGGGTTGGGTCGGTTTACTGCGATTTTTCCAACCGATCCGACTTGGTTGGGTTACCTGACATAGAAACCGAAACCGATCTAGTGTTAAGCAAAACCGATCTGGTCAGTTTGAGTCGGGTTGGGTCGGTTTCGGTTCTAAGTTCATCCCTGTGATAAAATCTTGCTAATTTAAAAAATAGTCATAAATTGAACATCATTTCAGCCATCTCCTATGATAAAATTTAAATGAAAAGTTAATCACAAAAGTTGTTCATTAATCACTATTCACTAATCCAAAGTTTCTTACAACCATTCAAAAACTAGGTGGCCTAATGGGCTTTGGAACTTCATGTTTGAACTAGGAACTAAGTCGATTCAGTTCGGGTTGGGTCAGTCCGGGTTGGTCGGTTTGGTCAGATTGGGCCTTCTTATGAACAGCCCTAATGCAAACAAACACTGTATTTGTAAGTTCCCGGGGCAATGCTCCCCATTGCCCGAAAAAATGCATTTATCCAGGCAACGCAAAACGAATGAGGACAAGTTTAAAATTTCAGGCCGAATCGGTCTAGTATCGGACCAGGTCCGCCCAAATCGTATCCATACAAATGAAGCATAAAATACAGGGTGTCAACGGTAAATATCACTTTTCTTCATTTTTCCCGGTGGTTAATAACTTAATTACTTAATATCTTTTTTTTTTTTTTTTGGTGAAACCAATAACTTAATATCTTGATTTACTTAACTTACGCGCGTAAAGGAGATTACTGAAGGCTGAAGCACTCGAGTGTCGACTATGAACTCTTAAATTCCGAAGCCATCTATTCTACGTCTCTCCCTGCAATTCACAATAACTGAAATATTACCAGTTTCCTTCCCCTGGATCTACTAGTGGAGTTGAAGGTACTGCTCTTTTTTAATCAAGTTTACCAATTTCTCCATTGAAACCAATCAGATCTAGGCGATTTCTCCTATAGGACGAGTAAATTTCACATTTTTCAGCATTTTTTTTTCTTTTGCAGATTCAGCCATGGATTTCATGAAGGTCCTAGATCAAACCGTCCGGGAAATGTGAGCCCCTGAAACATTTCTGTGTTTCTCTTAGAGCTGATCTGTTGATTGAATATAAATAGAAAAAACAATAATCCTTTTTTTTTGTTTCGATCTCTGCAGAAAGAGGGAGGTGAACATGAAAGTCCTAAAAGTTCCTGAGATCGAACAGAAGGTAAGAATCTATCACCTAATTGAGTTCTGGTTAATTGTTTATGCCCGAGGGAGTTTTCTTGCTTTTAAGGTTTAACTATCCCTGCGGAAAAAAAGTTGATATCGATTATAAATTTAAGCTGTGGAAAAGATCTGTGGTAATTGAATGTCTAGCTTACTCAGTGGAAGGGTTATCTTACTGCTTTTCCTTGGAACTTTTTAAACTACTACCTTGAAGAGTTTATTCTTTTTCCTTCCTTTAAGTGATTATACCAGCATTTTGTGGACGCTTTGTGACTTGTTTGTTAAATACGTAAATATTCTTTTACTACTCAGAAGGGGATGGGTGCAGTTGATAGCATGGAATCTTCTTAGCTCAATGACCCCCCCCGGCACGTTTGCCAGGTGGATGTTCTTCCAGAATTTAGATTTGCCGGTTCTTGTACATTAAAACCTTCTTTTGATTTTTTTTTTCCTCCAGAAGTGGCACTTCACTTATTTAGGAACCCCCCCCCCCCGCCTACCTTGTGCCCCAGGCTCTAGCCCCTTATACTTTGGTTGCGGTTTCTTGTTTTTAAAGCACTGATTAGGTTATGTGGATATTGTAACATGGTGCCTGTATGTGTTACATATCATGTTGGTTGGAACTTGGAGGTCAATGTATGTCATGGATATTAATATTATCTAGTTCCGTGCATCTAAGTTGGCCCATACATTCAGCGAGATTCAATGTGCATGATATTTCCTTCATTGAGCTTGCTTCACTCAAGTTTGTGAAAAGGTTAAACTTCCATAGTGAATATGGATAGGAGGTTTACACTTAAGTAACAAATCACTTTATTAATCAATAAAAAAATTGGAAAGAGGAGCAAAAATCATGGTTCAATTAATAGAAATATTAATACATAAAAGGCTATCTTCTGAGGACCTTTTCTTTTTGTTTTCAAATTCTGAGATATGATTCATAATTCATTACTGTGAAATATGCTCACTGGACTGGTATAGGTGTACTGTTTTCCTTTCTCATTTTTGTACATCACTTCTATTTCTGGTATGGCATCTTTATGTTATCCATGACAGGTTCTAGATGCAACAAGCAATGAGCCTTGGGGTCCTCATGGATCTGACCTGGCAGAGATAGCACATGCCACCAAAAAATTGTAAGTCAAAATAATCTCTCTTGGTCGTATTCATTTGCTAAATCTGTCTTTACCTCTGGCTGTTCCTTGAAATGGAAGATTTTACCTTGTATATAAACAATTTTGTCATCATGCAGCACTGAATGCCAAATGGTTATGAATGTGTTGTGGACAAGGTTAACTGATACTGGTCGAAATTGGCGTCATGTCTACAAGGTAACACTTATATTTAATATACATGATTTTCATTTTCAACTTGATCATATGACACAATTTTGAATTTCTATTTCATTTTTCCCAATGTCCTTACTTTATCTATCTTGCATTGCTGATGGCATCTCCCTTAATCAGGCATTGGCAGTTATAGAGTATTTGGTGTCTCATGGATCTGAGCGTGCTGTTGATGACATAATTGAGCATACCTTTCAAATCTCAGTATGGGGTCTTTTATATTTGTAATTCTTACATATTCCACTTATAATTGATAACCAGTTTCCCATAAATGTTCTAATAATTCTGCTATTTTACTTTTTTTTTAAAGTCTCTGTCAGGTTTTGAATATGTTGAGCCTAATGGCAAGGATATGGGAATTAATGTAAGAAAGAAGGCTGAAAGTATTGTGGTCCTGTTGAATAACAAGGATAAAATACAAGAAGTTAGAAATAAAGCTGCTGCAAATCGTGATAAGTAAGTTGATGCTTTTCCTATTGGTATTATTTCTTTTGGTTGAACTTGTATGTGCTCTTTTCTTGAGCTTGGAGTCAGTATGAAAAATGATGTTGCCATCGTCTTTAGGTACATTGGGCTTTCATCATCTGGAATGACATATAAATCAAGTGCAACCTCATATAGTAGCAGCAGTTTCCAGTATAATGACCGGTATGGAGGCCTAAGTGGCAGAAAAGAAGGGGAAATGTTCAAGGACAGTTATAAAGACAGAGGTCGGCTTGGAGAAGAAGAGTTTGACAATGATAGTCGTGATAAGCCACATAGAGGCACCACTACAGAGGACGATGGGAACAACTTTAGGAAGGGATCTACAAATTATGGCAGGTCTGTGCATGTGCAGTTACATTGCATGAACAAGTTAAAATTATCCCAACACATTTTGTATATTATTCACCTTGCTTTTAAATAGTGCAAATTTCTCAGTCATGGAAAACGGAAAAGCTTGCATATTTTTGCAGTTGTGAATGGCATCATTTTTTTTTTTCATTTAGTTTGGGAGATCTCTAGAACATCTATTGGTTATGGATTCCATCTCTGAGGCAATGCAAAGCATTTTCTACTCTTTTTTATTTTTTGATTACTTGTTACTTGTCATTCACCAAAGAGAATATAGCTACTTTCCTATTTATATTGTTTGTAGATTGGACCTGGAATGTTAGCTTGTTCCTGCACTCATTGGAACTATGACTATCCAAGATAAAAAAAATGGTTCTCTTTTTTTTTCAGTGGATAATTTTATTTTGACAATTCTGCAACAGAATGTTTAGAATTTTGTGTATTACATCATGCCTGAACACTGTGTCTATGAATAGGGGAAGGGAGGGTGGATGGGTTACTTTGCATTATAACTTTTCTATATTACAGTTTAAGATGTTATTAGTCTTTTTTTTTTGATGAATGAATATAATTTATTAAAACAGAAATATGAGGCAATACAGTAGATCCAAGAGGAGGCACGAGTTGTTACCTCTTCTAACAAATATTACATCAAACCAAAGCAGATTTGACCAGAATTAACCAGAACTAAAATTACAAAGCAGCCCAAAATAAATGTTCCCTTGAGGTCCCTTGCTTACAAATAGATGTTATTAGTCTTCCATTACTGGTTAGTTTGTAAAAGCCAGAATTGCAGATGACTTCTAAGTTCTACCAGCGCCAGACGCCATCTTTTGTTAGGTTGATGGGTTATTCACTTGGTGTTTCTCTTACCATGTTGTGATATTAGGAAAGTGTATTTTCATATACTGTATGCAAGGGTTAATGAAAGGTTATTTTGTATAAGTTTCTATGCCAGCAGCTATCCTTTTTCTGATTCTGGCCTGTTGATTATGTACTAGGGACAGAGTTGCTTCATCGTCCAGTACTCCAAGCTCGGGTTATGATGCTCTCCACTCCGAAAGCTTAAATGCACCTTTGAGTAATACCGATGATGATTTTGATGATTTTGATCCCCGGGGGACCTCTACCACTGGTAAGCATTTTTTTAGTGGTGTCCAGAACTGCCCAAGTATTTGACTGGTGTTCAGAATTATCCAATTATTATTTTCTTTAACTTTTGGATCAACATTGATATTGTTTTGCATATATGTATTTATCATATCCAATATTAACACACCAAATGCCTGTCTAAGCATGAAAAGCTTTAGGATGTTTTCATAGCAAGCCAAAGGACTTAAAATGCGCTACTTCATTGATATTATTTGCAGTTGATATATATCACATATGTGGAAACTGTTTAGATGTCCTTGTAGGTCTGTTAGTCAATTATTCCATTACTACCGAAATCATAAAGGCACTGCCAGATTAACTTTTTGATTGGTAATGGTAATCTTTATTAATTTAGAAAAAGAATCAGCTATAGTACAAGATGTGCCAAGAACCCCCTTAGAACTTTAGTCTAGCATCAGCTACCTAAACCCAAATAACAATTGTTCATTTTGCAGACTTCCCAAAAATTGCCTTTCCTTCTATTTATCCCTTGCCTAGCTAGTACATTTGGAAAGCTATTTTCTGATCTTACTGTCCACTTGAATGCAAGTCTCAGCTTCCTAGTCAGATGCTCTATTTCTCATTCTGTATGCCTATAATTCCAAGGGCCCCACTTAGAATTTTAGTCTAGTATCAGGTACCTAAACACAAATTACAATCATTTAGTTTACATGACTCCCTAAACTTTCCCTTCCTTCTATTTTAGCTAGTGCATTTTCTAAGTTATTTACTGATCTTAGTGTCCACTTGAATGTAAGTCTTAGCTTCCCAGTCAGATGTTGTATTTCTCTTTCTGTATGACACAAGGATTAATTTTATTATTATTAAACAACTCTCACTACTCTTGAATCCCCTTCCATAAAAAGGTCTTTATGATCAAGTGTTTTGGCCAAATAAGTGATAAATCCATTTCATTTTTTTTTATGCTGCAGGGAAGGGCATTTTCAATGTCATGTCTGTATGTATTTATACATGCATGCCTGCATAGATGATTATTACGTATGTAAATGTTATTTTGGCATATCAGGTTCTTTTTCACACTTACTGAGGCATCTGAATATTATAAAGTAATGATTTAATTTGGCATCTTTTGTAACATTTTAGAGTACTTTATGTCAAGAAGGTTTATCATAGTTATGACTCCAATGTTCATTTCTTCAGATATCATTGTTTCATGTGACAGGGTCAGCTGCTGCAAGTGTTAAGCAGGTGGATTTGTTTGGTGACAGTTTAATTGACCTCACAGATGCACCAACTCCTATTCCAACAGAAGCAAGTACTGTTAATAGCAGTAACACAGAAGATGTTGATCTGTTTGCAGATGCAACTTTCGTGTCTACATCACCTCATGTAGAAGCAGGGGTGGTCCCTCAAAAACAGGTCGGAATTTCTCTGTTGTCCCAACATCTCTGTCTTGTTTATGAGACGCGCATTAGGTTTGGAATTCAACCTAAATATTTTGTTTTATATTTTTTATCTCCCCATATAGTTGGGATAAGGCATGGATGATGATGATTTTTTTATAACTATTATCCAGTAATGTTCATCTACATGTTTTAAACCTCTTTTCAAGGTATGCAGTTTAGTATTATCAAACCCAGTACACTAAGAAAAAGAAGGCTAAGAACATGCTAAATTGTTTTGATCTTCATCTCTTTTAAGAATAAACAAAATGTTATAGTACTTGATAAGGATCATACATAGTCCCTTTTCATTTCTTTGGTAAGTTAAGGCAGGGTCATGGTGTGGCAATCTCGCTTTTGTTAGATCTTTGTTTTCTTTAATTTATGGGTGGTGGAGATCTTTTTGTTATTTTAGTTTATTGGGGATGGATCCTGGTCATTACAAGTGACTTGTTGGTCATTGTTTAGTTAGGCTTCAAGTTTCATAATAATATGGGTGGCAGAGATCTTCTTGTTTACTCCTTGTCCTATAATAAGTTTTGATTTTTTTTTTCATATATGATCTTAGTTTCTTGTTTTTCCTTAGACAGAGAAATCTCTCCTAGGAATCCCAACATCCAGAAATTTTCATTTCTGGTGATGAGATTCCTACCTAATATAGTCACCCCCTTTAACTTTCACTCTTATTTCTTTAGATCTTCAAAAGTTTTGTTTCTGTGGAGGTTTAATAATATGGAAATTTACCTTGATTTCTTCTTCTAAACCCATCCCTTGAACCCTCAACTATAAATTATCTTCCATAATTCCTCAAATTTTTATGCACCCTCATTCTGAACCCTATCTTGTAAACCTTTTTTATATCTGGTTTTCTTACTTTCTATAGCAGTTCATGCATACCAGACTACCTATTTGATAAAATTCCCTAGCCAGTCCCACACCAGTACTTTTTTGAATTTCATGGTGTGTTTGGGTCATAAAAAATGCAAAATGCTGAGGAATATATTATTTCTATGTTCTCCGCTGCCTTGTGTTGCCTAGAGGCCAAACTGAAGAGGGAGGGGGAGTGAATTGAGTTATCATTAAGAACACTACCTTGTGTTCTTATTAAATTCAAAATTGTAGTAATATTTCATTCATCATCATCATCATCCATGCCTTATCCCAACTATATGGAGTTGGTCATATTAGTCCTGTTTTGTCAATCCGTTCTATTTAAAGCCATATCCGCTGTAGTGATATTTCATTCAAGACTTAAAATGATGGGTGTACTTTAGTAATTTGGTTGTTGGCAAAAAGAGATTGGTATTCCATAATGCTTGTGGCTGTTAATCAACATAATTAAATGTTCATTTGATCTTTTTGAACTTTATAAATTTCAATAAAAAATAAAAGGTATGTTATCTGTTTAGGGAAAGAGTAACTAAATTAGTAGACTATGTCCTGATCATTTTAAGATAAAAAATGTTAGTTAAATGAGGTAAGTGAATCTTCTACTTTGTTTTCACCCATTATATGTTATATCTCCCCTTAGAAACAAGATTTTTATTTGTAAATGGCCAAACTGGAATTCAAAGGGATTTCCTATGCCGCATTGTGCAAAAGCCTGCTCTCAAGATTTTGTAATCATTTTTTATAAGCCCAAGATTTTGTAATCATCACCAAGTGACCTGCCTCCTAGAGCCACACCTACACCTCCTATCCAAGAAATTGTATAGCTTCAATTTGACAGAAGTTCGATCAGAAAATCCTTGACCAGCTAGGATAGATGTTTTCCTCAATGTTCAGAGAACTGGACCGGGCATAGAACCGGAAAAGGGAGAGGTGCACGGATCAAATATTCAACCAGGGTCAAATAGGAGGTCGAACAGTGATGACGTGGCATATATGTATATATGCTATGGGTCATATAAATACTATATATAATATTTTTTACAAATTTTATCATTCTTAAACATGGTGGATGGATGGAAAATTCCTTAATTTTTAAAGCAAATGACCAGGGTTCAAGCCTCTTAATTCACATTTTCTCTAAAATATGTGTAATGAAGTAATATATACAACAAATAGTCCTTATTTAACTGTTTAACACAAATAAAGAAATGGATTAATGGTAATTAAGCAATACATGTAAATAAGAGGTCATGGGTTCAAGCAATGTTTTAAGACCCAGACTGGACCGGACGGTTGGACCGTTAGACTCAGGAACCAGAGACCATTCCAGTTTTTTAGAATCCTGGGCTTCAAATTTCTGAAAAAAAAATGGTAGAAGCATCAAAGCCCAGTAGAACCATTGAAAACCGGATGGGCTTTGATGATTCAACCAGTTTTAATGATATTTTCTTGGTCATTTTGATAGCCTAACAAAATTTAATCTGCCTGATAAAACTTATTGGTTAGTTGTTATTTTCTGATTGTTGATTATTGTTTCAACTGCAAGATGCAAGGTTTAAGATTTTTGCAAGTGTAACAGCTTTCCACCTTACCGTTCATGCAGGCCAGTGTTGATCTGTTTGCTTCTCAGACTTCTTTCTCTTCATTTCCTTCAACAATAGACTTTTTTGCTGCTCCTAGTCCAGCCCCACAAACAGAAAGCAAAACTCCCGAACCGGAACCAATGAATTCCAACTCTATTGATCCATTTGCTGCAATGCCCCTTAACAATTTTGATGGATCTGATCTCTTTGGTGCATTTACTTCTCATACTGGCCAAGAATCTACTGGATCAACAGTAAATCCCGCCAATGATGGAAAACTTGACAATCTGACCCAAAAGCCACCAGAAGAATCCAAACCTGTACCCAAGAAGGATACTTTTCAGGTCAAATCTGGAATTTGGGCAGATTCATTGAGTCGTGGACTGATTGACCTGAATATTTCTGCTCGTAAGTTTTTGTTCTCTCTATTTTGGTTCTGATCAAATAACTAAAATTTTAAACTGCCATTCTATGCATTTCTTTTTTCCATATTGTTAGATGGAGGATGTTGAAAAATACAGTTGTGGGCTTGAAAAACATTTTTTTTGAAAGACATGGAGCATTGGAGCCCTATTTATCTCTTAATGTTTTTTTATCAGCCCTATTTATATCTTAATTCAACTATCGATTACCATAAATGAAACTTGGACACCCATTCCTCTATTTGTCTAAGGCTAAATCTGCGGTTTGAGGACACACGGCCAGTATACTGGTCTGGGCCCCCATAACTTGCCGCCTGGCCCATGTTTGTTGCATCAGAACCTCCATCAGATAAAGCTTCCATCTCAATCCTCATAGCAATATGATAGCATCCCTCCATTTTGGTTTAGATAAAGCTTTTGATACAGACTTTGAGATGGACTGAGTAGATATAAAGGCTAAGGAGGAATAAGACTTTGAGATGGACTGAGTAGAGATAAAGGCTAAGAAGGAATAATATGAGAGTGACAAAAGGCTATGAGAAAGGTGTTTAGAGATACAACGAGCAGTATACTTGCGTTTAACTTTTCTTACAGCAATGGGAAAGTCAAAATCGGGAAATGTTAGTAATGATGCTGATGATTGATGAAGGTATTGGATCTATTGTTTCATCAACAAATGGGGGTGGAAGAGGTTGTGATGAAGTGGGGACAACTTGTTCATGCCTATGCCATTGATGCCGCTGATAGACCCACATCTTTTGGATGTCAAATGTTGACAAAACAGTAGAAGCCTCTACAGGAGGCTGTGAGGGAGAGACGACATAAGGGGGTTGAGGGGAAAGAAAGACAGTGGGAGCAGGAAGAGGAGGGGGGGTAAATTTCTAGCATAGTATGTTTTCCTGGTGTGCTTGGGTTTCTTACGGTAATCACAAGTTACTTCCTTCCTGTCCTAACTTCCCTTTTACCCTAGCATGAGCATAATGATCTATAGTAGCATTCTGAAGATATACTTGCCTCTTGCTCTCCTCACTACTGACCATAGAGTAGGCTTGAGATAATGTAACCTTATCCTTTGCAAGTATATTCTGTCAAGTAATATCATATTCCAGGTTTAGTCTAGTTAAGAACTCAAAACACTCTGTTTGTCTCAACATGCTTTCTGTATGTCTCTACATATTTTTACTCTCCTAGACAACTGTCTCCAATAAATTAATCTCCTGCCATAGAGATTTCAACATAGAGTAATATAGAGCCAATGGATGTTCCCCCTGTTGAAGATCATTAACTTCACTCCTCAACTTATAGGCTCTAGCCACATTAGTCTCTTGAGAGTAGGTTTTTGATACACTATCCCACACCTCTTTAGTAGAACCCATCTATGGATAATGTTTACTGATATGTGGTCGCATGGAATTCACAAGTCATCCAATCACAATGTAATTCTCCTGCATCCACTTCTCCACGTGTAGGATCAATCTTCATAAGTTTCGTTGTACTGCCTGTCAAAGTTGACAGTTTTTTCTATAGTTCTCTTTTTGATTTTGAAAGTCTGTTTGTATCTCCCAATGGGATAGTGGTTTGAATGTTGCTTCTACCTCCTTTGTACAGCCTCTGGTTGTACTTTGACTTTTTTAATGAATTGATATTTTACTTCTCAAAAAAAAAAAAAAAATCTTTCCTCTGCTACAGACATAGATGTGTACAGACTAAGACCATTCAAGATAATCTGTACCATCTAGTCGTGCAGTAGTCACAACATTGAAGAAGTTATATACACACCTTGCTGGACCAACCTGAGACTCTATAAACTGCTTTAGATGAGCTCCAGATTGCTCCATTGATCCAATCTTTCAATTAGAATGGTAAACAGAAATAGGGTGTAACAAACCCAGAACCACTGGCCTTCATTCAACAAAGTGTAGAAAACTAGGGTTTCACAAACTTTACAACCTGGGAGAAAAGTGAGAACTTGCAGAAACTCCTACCAGGCTCTCCAGAACCTTTCCCAGTGTTTGCTGACCTCATTGAGTCTTCAAATAGAACCTATGAAGCTCTAATTCCCAGCATGAAACAACCTCCTTGACCCTTAACCAAGGTCTTCTTTCTCTAATCAGCTAGGCTTTGGGCAGAAAACTTCAGGGACCTTCCTGGGCTTCCAAACACTAGCCTACGGTCTCCAAAACCTCTTTCCAACTAGGTGGCAGCTAACAGGGATGATCAACATTATATCTTTTCATACACACTATTGATCAAAGAGTATGCAATCAAGAAGAGAAAACTGGGGGGGGGACCTTACTTTGATTCCAAGAAGTAAAACAAACTTGAAAATATTGATATTTAACTAAGGTTTAATGGCAGAAAAGATGTGAGAAACTCCGAACAGTAGCAAGTAGGAAGAAGAAAATAGGGTTCAGGAGATTATAAAAATATAACTGATCTTCAAGCCCCCTAATCAATTTCAATTTTATTACATTTTTTTTGAAAGGTAAAGTAAGAAATTTATTAATTCAGAAAGGACTCATTACAACAGGAGAGCTAACCACATGTGGCTACTCAGAACACAGGACATGTTACAGATCCCAAATGGATACAGATCTAAATAACTCAGGAACATTCAAATTTTTAAAATCAGGGGCTACAGACACCCAAGAAATCAGCTTGCTGACCACCTGCTGCACAATCTCTTCCGTGCTCTTTGATTTGTTGCTGAAGACTCTTCTGTTCCTCTTTGACCAAATTACCCACATCACAACCGCAGGAACAGTTCTCCAAATTAGCTTTCCTTTTTTCTTCAGACCTTGAGATTTCCAGCAAAGCAGAAGATCTTTTACTGAATTTGGCATGACCCAACAAAGACCAACAGCTCCTATAAAATGGTACCAGACTCTCAAAGAGATAGGACAATGGATACACAGATGGTCTGTGGACTCAGGCAATAAACCACACACCAGAGAAGGGAGCTGAAAACCCCTTCTATCCAGGTTGAGTCTTGAGAGACATTTGTTCAGCACCATTGTTCACACAAGGAAAATAGACTTCGAGGGAGCACACGACTTCCACACTTGCTGGCAGGGGAACTCAGTAACCCCTGTATTGCTAAGCTTAACAGTAAGGGATTTGACTGAGAAACAGCCATCCCTACTCCAGGACCAGCTCCATTCATCTTCACCAGAGATGTCTATCGGCTGCTCCTGTAATATTTGCAGTAGTTGCATCACTCCATCAATTTCCCAATCGAACAAATCTCTTCTAAACTGAGGATTCCAAGTCACTGTGTTGTTAGAAACCACATAGGACTCCGCCACTGATATTTCTTGGTTAACCGCACATTGGAAAAGAATGGGAAATGCCTCAGCTAAAGGTCTGTCCAAACACCAGGGGTCTTTCCAAAATTTCAGTCTGCCCCCATTTCCCACCTTAAAACTTACACTTTCATGCATCACAGGAAGAAATTTAAGAATCCCTTTCCAAACCGAACAACCCCATGTTGGGTACGGATCCTGAGACTTCCAATTTCCCCAATCCACCCCAAATTTTGAGGCAATTAAGGACCTCCACCAAGAGGATCTTTCTGCAGCAAACCTCCAATACCATTTACTCAACAAAGCCGAATTTACCACCTTCAACCTTCTTAGGCCTAAACCTCCCTCTGCCTTTGGAAGACATACTTGATCCCAATTCACAAGATGCATTTTCTTCTTTTCTTCCCATCCTCTCCAAAGAAAATCTATTTGCAACCTCTCAAGTTTCTTTGCAATTTTAGATGGCATAGGAAACAGGGACATGAAGTAGGTAGGGAGGTTGGCAAGTGTACTCTTGATAAGGGTCACTCTCCCTCCTATAGACAAATATTTTGCCTTCCAAGAGGCCAATTTTTTTCCAACTCTCTCAATGACTGGATCCCATAAAGCAGAAGAATAACACTTGGCACCTAATGGAAGGCCTAGGTACTTACCCGGAAGATAGCCCACCTGGCAAGCCATCAGTCTTGCATAGGATTCCAGAACGGGACCCACTGGGATGATCTTGCTTTTATGAAGATTTACTTTAAGATCTGAGACTAATTCGAACCAGCAAAGTATACTGAGTAATAATTCCAACTGATCAGAAGAGACATCAAGGAAACAGAGAGTATTATCAACAAACTACAATAAATCGACTTTTTCCACATCCGGAGCAATAGCAAAACCATCCCACAAACCATTGGCTGCTGCCTTAAGGGAAAATTGGGACAGGAGCTCTGATATACAAAAAAGAGCAAAGGGGAAAGGGGGTCCCCCTGTCTAAGACCCCTCGAACTTTCAAAAAACCCCACAGATTGGCCATTGATCAACAATGAGAAATTGGGAGAGGAAACACATACCTTGAGTCAATTCCTCCATTTCTGACCAAAGTTCATTTTCTCAAGCACTTGATCCAGACACCTCCAGTTTACATAGTCATATGCTTTTTCTATATCCAGCTTTACAACCAGGCCCGGAGATCGCTCCCTTAATCTTGAATCAATAAGCTCATTTGCAATCAGGACTGAATCAAGCATTTGTTTCCCCGGAACAAAGGAAAACTGATTGGTAGAAATTACACTACTTAGCACCTGTTTCATTCTAACTGCCAGCAACTTTGCTAGAATCTTGTAGAAGCTATTTAAAAGGCTGATGGGCCTAAAATCCCTAATATTTATAGCCCCTTCTACTTTTGGGATCAAAGAGATAAAGGTAGTGTTAAGACTTCTATGCAAGGATGCATTTCTATGGAAGTCCTGGAACACCTTTAACAAATCAGACTTAATAAAATTCCAACATTTGATATAAAATAAGTTAGACAAACCATCCGGCCCAGGAGATTTGTCCCCATCCAAACTCCAGATTGCTGACTTGATTTCTTCTTCTGAAAAAGGTCTCTCAAGAAACTGATTCTGATCTGAACTTAATTGCTTGAAGGCTAGCTATGAAGGAAAAGGTCTCTTGCCCCAGGTTTCCTTATAGAGATTCTTATAGAAAGAGGTAGCTACTGATTTGATTTCAGCAACTGATTCCCCTACTCTATCCTCCCATTCCAGTTTATTGATTGAAGAAACTCTCACTCAGGCATTTGCCATTTTGTGAAAGAAATGAGAGTTTCTATCACCTAGCCTTACCCAGGTTACCTTGGCTCTTTGTCTCCATTTAATTTCTTCTTTCACAGTCACCTTGTCAAAGTTTGTTTTGGCCTGGATTTTCCTCCTTCTCAACTCTTCCAATATTGGTCTAGTAAGCCCATCACAACTAAGCCCCATAAGCAATATAATAAAAACAAAAGAGACCCAAAACTGATAGCTCAACAAGAACTCAAAAGATAAGGAATATGATGGTGCTTTTTTTTTTGTAACTGCAAATGATTTTATTATATTGTTAAAAAATACTGAGTGCCTAGAACCCCTATAATGGTCCTTCCTTTGCAAGTCCATCTGCCAAATTATATCTTAATTGCTCCAGCTGTCTTATTTCCTTCATTATGTATATGAAAACCTAGAAACCATTATTGTTCTTTTTTAACCAGCACACCATTGTCTTGGAATCTCCTTCCACTATTAAATCTTTATAACCCAAGATTTCACCAGTCTCATGCAGAATATGGCAGTGTTTTGCATACCCACAAATTTCACACCAGATATTCATAGGATCTGAACCAAAAAGTTAAGGAAATAATCTTCTTAAATACGGAAAAGACAAATCTCCTATATGAATGACAACATATTAATTGGTCTTTATTGCTACCACAATTACTACTAGACTGGTGAGGTGTTAGCTAAGCTCGGCTGCTCTCAAGGAATTATGAACCACTAATTTCAATCCTTAAACACGGTAAGTAGGAAAGAATGGCTAACTACAGTTCAAAGGTTTAGTGATAGGTATCAATCAAAAGCAATTTGGTAGTAAGATTAGGGACATGCAGGAAAGTGAACCATCTGTAGCAAGACATTCTTGCTGATGGATCAAAACATATCATTCCTGGTGACAGAAGAAAATCAATCATCTATTATCATCGAAGGAGCTACATGTGTTTGATATAGTACTGCATAACTCTTTCTTGTTGATTCTCTACCTCAAATTGGATGTAACCAAATACTCCCTTGGACTCATTCCAGAGTTGGGAACAGAGCTCAGTTATTGATAGAGTTGTGGGTGCTTGTTCTATGTGGAAGTTTGTTTTTGGGATTTAGTGAGGATGTGCATATGCTACGTATTTGAAAGTTAGGGCCTTTGGTTGCTCTTGTGGTTGCAGTGCTGCAAGAACATTATATGTTTACCATCACATAGAAAATGATGGAGAATGGAGATGCACAATGAAATCCTGAAATTTTCATTCATGAAATGGTAATTGATTATATCATATGAAAATTTAGCAGCTAATTCAAGGGTGCAAGGAATTATTAGGGTATCATAATGTTGGTTTGATTGCTTGAACAAGTCTACTTCTTCCTATGTTTTACTGTAATTAACTTTCTCTTTGAATAAGTCGCATCCAAAAAATAATAGAAATTTGTTTCTTTCACCCCAACCAATCTTCAATGCAGAACCAATTCCAAAGATCTTTGAAATTTTTATTATGGTACTGGAATTAGGAGAAAACTTGTTCTCATATTGACTTGATTTCTGTTTCCTTGGTTCCCTTGGGTTTCCATTCCAATATGCAGCCAAGAAAGTATCTCTAGTGGATGTTGGAATTGTAGGAGGCCTCAGTGATGGGTCTGACGAGAAGGAAAAGGGACCACCAACTTCAGCTTTCATGGGAAAAGCCATGGGGGTAGGGTCAGGTCTTGGTAGATCTGGATTTACCCCTTCAACTGGAATGGCTGAAAATGACTCATTTTCGTCCCTCAGACAACAACAACAGTTTGGTAGCTTCAAATGATGATTTTTCTGTTTTCCTCTTTTGATATTCTTCAACCCTTTCACAGCAGAAGTTGAAGAATGGGTGTCTTGGTGTGCTTCATCTATTCTATGCATTAACAATATTTGGTTTGATAATTGCATGTTGTTAACTCTATGATGGCATTAGCCAGGCCTTTTTTCATTATGTCTGTAGGCATTCCAGAATATAATTCCTTTAAAGATATGTGACTTAATCAATACGGAGGATCTTTCCATTGTTAGATTGTGGTTGTAGCAGTTCTGTCTTACCCCAATTGGAAGTTCTATACAGCTGGGTCAAGCAAATCCATCGAAATCTGGCCAAGAAAATTTCAGCAAGAGCAAGCAGGGAAATGTTTACTACTAGGAGCTGGCGAGTGATAATTAACGAGTTAGAAGTATTCTCCCTGCTCGCAAATGAAAGAGTTCGCATTGGTTCAGGATTATGAAGTTGTCAGCTTAGAAACTAGAGTGTTTGTGTTCCTTGGAGATTCTTAATGAAAGAGTGATTCTTTTGCATATCTATGCTGTTTGATTATTCTTGAATTTGTTCATTGGTAATAATCAGTTTGACAGAATCATGCTTTATCCCCTAATGGATTACTGTTAATCCATGTGATCTTAGCAGGAGAAAAAAGGCATAGTTTTAAGCCTATTAAAATTCTATAATTACCAACAATCAATGTTTATGGATGGAAAAAAATATGACTATTCGAGTGATATACCTACTCTCATTCCCCTCCCTTGGGAATGAGAATCCATTCCAGGCCATTTCGATTTTGATTCCTATTCCTATTCCTAGTCCTATTTAAACCAAACAGGTGGGCAAATAGACCATTCTGATTCTGATAAATGCCCTACAAAACAAAACAAAACATGTGGACTACATGGCAATGGAGGTCAGTTCAGATTTTGGTTCCAAAGATCTTGCAGATCCATCGCAATGATGGTGTCGTGTTCCATGACAAAGATGGGAATGCTACACATACTTTTGGGTCCAGTCCAACAGAAAAGATGTCTATCTTTGAAATTTGAATAGGTTGAGCCAATGAATTTGCAAACTGTTCAAAGCTGAAATGCACAAATATTGTCCTGTTCCCACCATTTTGTTTTGTCCAGTGCTACATCCATTGTTAAATTATGAACCATCAAATCATTTCTTACTACATCGATCCATCCATGTTCTCTCTTTTGATCCACCCTCGGAAATGGAAATCCAACAAATGAATTACACGAACCCTCTCAGCAATGAAAAATTAAGATGGACCCGAAATTTGTTTCAAGTGCTGTAATGCCTCCCTCTCTCTCTCTCTCTCTCATACACGGAGAACTAAGTACGAAGTCAAACCTCCCAAGGTGAAGATTAAGCACAATGTATCCCTGAAGATTTTGATTATGCACGTCATGTTTGTTGTCAAGTTGAAAGGAAAACAAAAGAGATCGTGTAGAGATAATACAGCAATAAAGCCAAGCGAGAGATCCGGGTCTTTGGCAACAGAGATTTTATCAAACGACTCTAGCGAGAGACAGGCAAGGCAACCATATAAACCTCTTGATCCGATCAAGCCCCCTTTTGTCATCCTTGAAAGAGAATGCCAGACAAGACAACCATATAAAATAAACCGTGACCAACCTCAGCATTATCATCACCTTCTTCTATAACCATCAACAAAGTCCCAAAAACGATATCTGATATTAGAAATGGTAGAATTGATGCATCAATGACAAGCCCATCTGCCAAAAAGCAAAAAGTCATTAATATAGGTCACACGTGCTTGACACTAGGGTTGGAGTGAATTTCAAGAGCATGCTTTGGCTTGAATCAAGGAGACAGACTGACTAGGGTTCACAGGCCTTAAGAGAAGGGAATGTCACTTTCCTTGCATTGTGTAGCTGACATAAAACATTTAAAAAACCCATAAAGATCTCCCATGCATTAAAAGTTAGCTTAAGTACAAGCAAGAATCCAACGAACATAAAAAAATAAACACACGCACAAAAGCAAATGCCTCACATACAAGCATTAACCGTAAGTGTTATAATTGTTAAAGGCTTGAAGCTTTTAGTAAGAATTCTGCTAACGAGAAGTCTTGGATTCAGAAAGAAAAGTCCTAAATCTCAGTTTGGTTGGGGTTTGAGATTAAAATTGTAGATGAGGAGCATGAGAATTCTGAGTACCATGTTGAGAATTCTTATTAATTGATTAACAATAACAAGTGGGGGAAGTTCTACAACTCCTTTCGGTTGTTTCCGCTACTCATGCGCTCTGTAAACTGTAATGTCTGATCAAACAGCAGTAACAGTGTCCAGCTTTGGAGCAGTACCACTTTCTTTCCATAAAAAGTGAACTCATCATAGTTTTAATCCTCATAAACATCATTGCATTTTACTTTCTAATACTGCGGGTGTTTTACTGCAAATAGAGCATACTTGTATAGTACAGATGGTCTCCTTCTACTAGACCCATGAAAGGGTCTAACGGAAACCTCTACACGGTTGAAGCAGGGACGGCATGGCATGTCTACTGTTTTTGGCTCCAAAGAGATGTATCAAATTTAACCAATACAATATTGACAAATGGCAATTTTATAAGGTGGGCCATCCTAAAATAATCAAAATGCCAAGAGAAGAGAACGATTCCTTCGTTCAAAGACTAATCAATGACCACCCGGTACCGGGTACTGTAATTTGGGGTAAAATCACTTGTAATTTTATTTGGGACCCACCATTGACAAGGTAAATACGTACCTACGCCTGTTTTTTTCTTTATTCAGAAAATTTAGGTTAGATATCTAATTGGCAATCCACTTTATTTATTTGTAAGAATGTGACCCACACCAAGCCATTCTGAATTGGTTTTGCTTTTTATGAAAGATGTTTGGTTTGAACAAAAAAAAAAGCTAGATATAGAAAGTCGTTAAGGAATTTCCAAAGTTTTATTAAGAACTTTCCTTGAATTTTCTGTTTCACTTTAGTCTAATCAAACATAACCTCCTAATTCTAACTAAATTTTTTTATTGAAAAATTTTCTGATTAGTATTTTATACTTTGCGCCTAGTGTCACTTTGGTCCTTGAACTTCAAAACGTAACAGTTCAATACCCAAACTTTCAAAACGGGTCAATCCAGTATCTGTCATCAACCAACCATTAAATGGCATTTGAAAATATGTAAATGCCTTTCAAGTATCGTCTAATTCTCTTTATCAATCATCCATCCGTTGACAAAAAATGATCAGTCTCAAATCCTTGCCTCATCTATTCAAGAAAGTTGAGATCATTTAAGACTTCATTTTTTATCAATGTTTGGATGACTGATAAAGAAAATTATATGACACTAGGACATTCATATTTTTTCCAATGCCACTTAATAGTTGGTTAACAACAGGTACTGGATTGACACATTTTAAAAGTATTGAATTGTTGCTTTAAAGTTCAGAAACCAAAGTGACACTATGCCCAAGTTACAGGATATTAATCGAGAATTTTCCTTTTTGATATTAAATGTCCTTGGTAGTTAAAATGGATAACTGGACATGTCTTTGGTGGACCATCTTGAATGGATTCGTCATTTCGCACCCTCCATGGTCCATTTGGAGATTGGCTGGACAACCCATCCGCGAAATCTAGGCAAAAGAGAATCTGCAGAACCTCCCTCTGAAAGGTGCTATGCCACAAATGCCACGGCCTATGTAACCGCTGTCAAGAGAATCGATGTGGTTTTGTCATATGAAGTTCGAGAGGCTTGAGGTTGAGGAATGAAGACAAGGGAATTCATTCACCGGAGTTTGTAAAATTCAATGGGAGAAAGCTCAAAGGCTCAACGCTCAAGCACTGGAAAAGCCATGAACATCCCCCAGTAGCAGACTAGCAGTTGAAAACATCCCTCCTTGATCCCTTGTCCCTTGCAAGCTGAACCGTCACTTATCTCAACAATTTTCCAATAAGCAGCTTCAGCAGTTTTAAATGTTCCAGTCTCACCACGCGTCTCATAAAAATTAAAGAACAGCCAAACCAATACATTTAGTCGGTATAGAGTGCAAAAGCTTCTATTTTGTATGTATTTTGCACTGTACATATCTGTAGTACTCCTTCCAAACTGAGCTTTATGAACTTGGGTCCACCGCGAGGCACGTCTCTTAGGAGTTGGGACCGATTTACCATTGGGATGCCCACAACCAGCCCAATCGAGACCATAAAATGGTCCAGAATGGGTCCAGAGTTTTTTTTCCCGACCCTGGACTCTGGTACTCATAAATTCATATAAAACATCTACCAAAAGCTGCAGATGCTAGTAAAGTCTGATCAACACATTTAGCCAAGCCTCTCAGTTCATCAGTCAGGCTCATTTTTCTCAGCATCAATATTGGGGAATATACTCCCAATAGCAACATCAATACTGACATGAGATAAACAGAAACTGATCATCTCTGTACATATTATGGGTAGGCAGGTTGGAGCTGTTAAAGAAGCAGCTCAAATTTTACATGCTATATTATCTCGAGGATGGCCAGTTTATGGTCTAGTAGCCATCAGTTACAAAGATCAGGAAAAAGGATGGACATTTCAATGGAGTTCTCAATACATTTCCAGCATCCTTCCCCTTAGAATGGCTTCTGCTTTCCTCACCTGCTTCACAGGTCCAATAATGAATACCTACATGAAGCCTGGTATTAGGACCCAAGGAAAAACATATTTCCAGACATGGTTCAAAGTATCAATACTCTGGATACGCAAAAATCACATACAGTTTTTAACAATCAATACTGTTTCTTTTTTATTATTATTTCAGTTTAATAAATCAAACATATATTAATGTTTAAAACTATTAAGGGGTCTAACTCATAATTTAGTGTTTTGGTGACTGAAAGCCAATACATATTGATACTTTGAACCATATTTCCAATTAAAAGGGAATCTTTGAAACAAATTAATTTTCAGTTGCTGGATCAAATCGGAATTGAAGAAGTGTTATTTGAACTTGTTCTGTATAATGAATGTACTAACCTTGTCAGGTGGTCCCTTGGCACCTCCTATGAGAATTTCCGCACTACAACATAACATTTGAAAGAATGAAAAAGAGAAAAACAACTAATGGCATATGAGTAACAAAAAATGCAAACACCATCATAAATTACATACATTTAGTGTACACATGTATGAACACACACACACACACAGAGAGAGAGAGAGAGAGTACTTGCAAGATTCTTTGATTGACTGGATTGACGCTCCCCTTCTTCCAATGACAAGTCCCATTTTTCCTGGAGGTACATTTAATACTGACAGGATCTCCTCTTCAGGAACATTCCTTTCCGCAGCTAGGTCATCTGCCAAAGCACAACCTCAGTATGAAGTGATACCAAAGGGAATTGAAAAATCAATATGGATTTCATTCCCACAGCTGTAGTTATAAAATGTAATAAGCCTCATTGATCATACAGCTCACACCACAAGTAATTTTGGGAAGACATATRTGCACGTAGAGATCATAAATGCATAACCTCTTGGCCTATTGGTATGCATATAGTTTTCCAGCCAAAGAGGGACAGTTATAAAATGTAATAAGCCTCATTGATCATACAGCTCACACCACAAGTAAT